ATTCCAGGAAAAATCCTAAAAGCTTAATTTATCAATGTTGGGCATAAATGAACATATACAATTAAATTAAAATCCATTTAATTTAATTAATCGTGCTACACAAGGTTAACGCAAAATATAAAAATTTTAGAAAAATAAAATTTAATTAACCTAACCTCATCTACAAGATCTAAATTATCAGAACAATGCATACATATATTCACATGTTTAATTCTATAATTTTGTAAAGAATAAATATGCTCCTCCAATCTGAATAATAATTTAATTTAATAAAATAAAATTATAATTTCGATAATCAAGGTGATAAGTTTATGAATTCTAAGAGGAGAAGTAGAGAAGAACTCGCCTTTTCTTTTCCAAATCCGGTCTCCTCTTACGTTCTTTGATCCGGCCTCCTCTTCGTTAGCCCTTCTTCTTCTCTCTCTAATTCTCTTATTTTTCTAACGTGGAAAAAACTCCTAACCCTAAAGTCTTATGTGTCTATTTATATACATACAAAAAACTAAATCCTTTTCCCATTAGGATTATCATATAAAATAAATAATATTTATCATTTAAATAATATATATACATACATATATTTTACTATAAACATATATATATTACCTTCCATATATAAATCCTTTTCCCATTAGGATTATCATATAAAATAAATAATATTTATCCTTTAAGTAATATATATACATACATATATTTTACTATAAACATATATATATTACCTTCCATATATAACCATTAGTTAAATAAATTATATATACCTATATATATCAATATATAATTATATTGACATATATACCCCTCCACATGATTTAATAATGAATTAATATACACATGTAATTATATAGGTATAATTATGCAAAGATAATTATTAAATATCCTCACAACCACGGGCCTTTACCAATTAACCCAACAAGGCTTCCTTCAAGCCCAATACCACATCCGTTGGTCCAACTTCCTTTAATCCCAATACAAATAACTTAAATACCTAAAATAATGAAATTAAATAAAGTTACACCAACATAAAATCACGCAAATCAAATAAACAATTCACTAACTAGCATTCCACAAATCAAACACCGTATAAATTTAACAAATAAAATTACAAAATATAATTTAATTAAAACAATACAATTTACCTACGCACTTAATTAAATAAAACAAATCACAACTATCCAGCACCTAAGTAAATAAAACAAATCATTTAAAAATAATAATAATAATAATATAATATAAATTAATTTAATTAATAAATCCTTTTTAATCCTTTTTAAAATATCGGGGTATTAGCACCTAAGTAAATAAAACAAATCATTTAAAAATAATAATAATAATAATATAATATAAATTAATTTAATTAATAAATCCTTTTTAATCCTTTTTAAAATATCGGGGTATTACACAGTGCAATGAAATGCAATGCATGCTAATGCCACTCCCCATTTTCATTCACCAAGCCATTACTTTCAAATGCTAATACAGTCCGCCCTTTGGTAACCCCGCCGCGACACGAAAGGAGGATTGACTATCGTCCCTAGACCTTTGGTAACCCCGTAGCGTTATCGAGGGGCCCGAACAGCTCAAGCACGCTAGGGCGACTCCCTAGTCCCTTCTAGGCTATATTAACCTCCAGCCCGTTGGTAACCCTGCAGCGACCGGGTTTATCAAAACTATTTGACAAAACTTTTCTCCCAAAATTTCCCCCATTTTCATTTCAAGACAAATTCTCTCATTTCATGCATCCCAATGACATGTGCATGGATGTACATATAATCTCAATATTATGACAATGGGAAATTTGGCACAATCTAAATAAACATGTTCTCATTAGTCATTTTCAACATGTTAACACATAGTGGGCATGATAAAACAACATCTAAACATACTTTACACATGAAACAAGTCATAATCAAGCTCTTGAAAATTCTCTAGACATCATTCATACAATCATAGATATAATTAACTCCCAATTAAACATGTTTGACACAACAAGGAGGTGTAATTTACAATAGAACAAGAAAGGAGTGGATGAAGATGGCCCTACCTCAAAATGAGCAAAATCTCTAGAAATGAGTTCTTAAATTTGAGCTCCCAAAGAGGACCAAAAGTTAGAATTTCTGGTACTAGCACGTAGAGCTCGTCGTGCTTGTCGTTTTGCCTCAAACGGCACCTTAATCCGATAAGAGATGAGGAAGAAATCAAGAGATGAAGATTAAACCAAAAAAAAAAAAAAAACAAAAGAAAGCCAAGAGAGAGAGAGATACAGACAGAGACGGGAGAAGAGAGAATCAGACTACAAAGCTTTCAAAAAACGTGGTCTCATGACCACTTAAACATTAGTGGGTCCCATTTTTTTTTTTTTTTCTCAATTTACAGACATTACAGGAACTTGCAAGCCCACCAATGTGGTCTGCTTTGCATAATACATTGACAACATATTCAAAAGCATTCTCAGGGGCTATCCAAAGACATGGTAACAATACCAGGCCATTTTCAAAATACACGACCAAAACAAAAGCCATTTATACATTTGGCACCAAAAATTCAACTCAGGACTCAACCGTCAACAAGAATCCGGAACTGAACTAGCCTTTTGATTATACGATTGTAACCTAGCCTATCATAAACAATAACAATCTCACCCTGATCTTGCGTTCCCTGCTTTCAAGTCATTGATTGAAACAGCACAAACTCTTCCTGGTCCCTGCTGCATGCAGCGCATTAATCATATTTCCAAAAGCAGTCTCAGGATTAAGCTCCCATGGGTGCTAGGTCATCCACTTCGTTTCTATGTTCTTTGAGGGTATTCACTCATTTATATTCCGTATGTATGCAGTACCTCGCTGCCACCTTCATCTTCCATTCCTTTAAATAGTGCAATTAATGCTTCATTAATCTTTCTCTTAGCAATATGAATCTCATGATCAACCCTTCTCACCATCTCTTGAAGAAGTTTCTCAGCTTCATCCACTCTCCCAGTATTTCCAAGACAACAAATGACACTCGAATAGCAAACAATATTAACTGCCAGATTGTTACATTTACAAAATTCAAAACACTCCATGTTACACACCAACAATTACCTCATAAGTTGTCTACTAGCCCCATCTGGCTCAAACTCTCATTCAATTTCTCGAAAAAGCCTTGGAGCCTCATCCATGTCCCACTTTTCTCAAATGCATCAATCAAAACAAGCACATTTTGCTACATTACTTTAGTGCTTTACAACATTTTCGAAACATATTTCAAAAAACACCATACCAATCAAAAAAAGAAAAAAGAAAAAAGAAAAACTTCCCATTCCAAATAACATGCCTGCACCAGTGACAGATAAGTAATCTAATCAAGCTCCACATTTCTCTATTTCTCCATTTCGATCCACAATACCCTTTAAATCATCGGATTAGTCCGGCAAATTTTCCCAACAACAATGCCTGCAAAAGCCCACTCACAGAGATTCAGTAAATACTTATCAAATTGCAAAATTGTTCATCAAAACAATGTTCTTCAACCATGTAAAATCCTACAAAGCTCCTAGTAACAGAATTAGCCGCCTGAACCATTCATTGAACAAACCTAAAATCCTTGAATTGACCAAATATACATCAAATTCAATTTAAATCACCATATACACACATAATGTTAAAATCAGAGGAAAACAATAGAAAGAAGATGGCGATAACCGGAGTAGGAAATTGTGACATTAAAACATATCAATTGTGGTCCATGTTCAGTGAACAGTCCAAAAATTGGAGGGTTGGAGGTGCTTGAGTTAAGGGTTGTACACATTCTTAAGGTCTAAGAGAAGCCACCTGGGTTTTGAGCTGAAACATGAGATTGGGTCAAGTTTTGAAAGCTGTGGTCCTTTGTATAGTTGTGCAGATGAAGAATAAAAGGAACTGCAGGTGTTTTGACATTGTTTGTTTATGAGTGAAGTTTTATTTTGGTGGCGTTCGGAGGACAAAAAGGTCCCATGGTCTAGTGGTTAGGACATTGGACTCTGAATCCAGTAACCCGAGTTCAAATCTCGGTGGGACCTCTTTTTGATTCTTAGTTTTCGTGTTTTTCATTTGATAAGAGAAATATACCATTTACTCTTCTATTAAATGTGAGTTGAGTAGTAACAGATTTAATATACAATGTAATCATATATAGGGGTAACTCGGTAAGAAGCTCAATTCAATAGTCAAGTGATTCGGATGTATAGATATGCAATTAATGTATTTTTTTTTTTTTTTTTAATTATCAATTTGTTCTTTCTATTTTCGATATATGTAATTACTAAGTTGGAAATTTTTTAAAAATATAAAGAAAAATAATGAAAAGATAAGGCTTATTTTCTTTAACTTTTTAAAGTTAACAACTAATTTGAAATATCTAAAAATGAAATAGTAGTCTAATAATATGAGACAAAAATAGTATTCAATTTGAACCGATAGATAAGTAGAATTTGTGAATTATTATATTTAAACTAATCATAAAAGTCGAATTTTTGAATTATTAGATTTAATAAGTCTATCTTAAATTATAAAATTTTCACCTTTTTTAATATATATTTTAAAATTATTACTAATATTAGTATTAGTTGGGTAAAAAGAAAAATCAATTTCAACAAGGAAAATGAGATATTAAAATTCGTTCCAAAATCAAATTGTGTTCACATTGAAACCAGTTTTTTTTTTTATTATTTAAAAAAAAATTATTGAAACCAGTTGACCTCAACCAAAAAAAAAATTACAAACATATTAAATTTTTTATTTTTTTTAAAAAAGAATTGTAAATTAATTGAGTGAGCTCTAATTCCATTATTATTCCAACGAGTAATAGCTACACCAATGACTTAAACACAATTGTTCATCTTATTATGACTTAAACACAATTGTTCATCTTATTATTTTTGATTCGTCAATACATATCAAATATAAAAAATACATTAATAATTAATAAAATTTAATAGGCCTAGCTATTCCGTATAACTCATCCGTTTAAAAAACAGAATCGGACGCTAACATTAGTCCGTTGGAAGAGCACGTGATTACTTCGGCAAGACAGCGCGGGACAATCGTGCGAACGAGCCAGAGAGAGATCTAAGAGAGGCACTGGGAGATATCACCATCGGAAAACCCTAGATCCTGGTTTGCATTAGGGTCGATAGATAAATGGCGAAGCTTGAACCGTTGGTGGAACCGAATCAGCAGAAGAAGAAGGTGAGGAAGGATAGTGGGTCGACAAAGTTTTTCGTCTTCGTCGATTACCTTTTCCTCCTTATCTTCTTTGCTTTCCTCTGTTTCATACTCTTCAAGATGATCGGCATTTGATTTTTACTTGAGGTGATTGTCGAAACTCTTTTCATTCTATCTTAAAATGCATTTTCCGTACTACCCATTTGTGTAATGTGGTTCTTTTAGCTAATTGTAATGCAATTTATGCAATTGTGTTGAGGCATATCTTTGAATCTTATGTGCCCAAACTCTTCAATACCTTTGTAATGATACATTTGTAAATTTATTTCTGTAGTTCTTTGCGTTCAGGAAAATACTTTTAAGAATTGAATGGCAGGGCCCAGAGGAGCCCAAATTCATTGTTGGATGGAGAGTATTTAAGTATTTATTTTTTGTAAAATCACTTCCCTGGTTATCATTTTGATAGAAAATAATAAGGTTAATCTGGGTTAATAGTTTCCAACAATAAGAAAACCCAATTTGGTCTTGATGGACTTGACAATTTATTGCTACAGATAATTACAATTACCGGGGAAATGAAATATATTTACAAATAGTGGTCAATTTCACAAATGTTTAGTTCATGATAAATGGAGGCTGTTTAAGATAATGCTCCAGTATGGGTAAGTTGATTAATCCAAGTTGAAGGTGCCAATAGGATAAGAGAAATGTCAAAAGGAACGTAGGTTAAGGCTGCGAGAAATGACATGGGGATATGGTTCTACATAGAGCAAGTCAGGACAGATTACTCCATGTAGTTGACTCCAACTAGTTGGGATTAAGAATTTTTTAAGTTTAGTTAGGTTGAGCAGAATCTTTCATCTTAATAGAATGTTTTTGGTAGTTGAATTGAACAATTCAAGCGACCAATGACCTAGCCTGTAGTTTAGTCGCTGTGGTATATTGAGATTCTCTGTATATAAAGGTTATGATTTCTCATGTTTCTCTTATCATCGATTCGTTGTTAACACGAGGAAAAGAACCCATCAGGCTGTTTTCATCTTTTTACAATTTCTTGTTTAGTTATAACTTCTTTTGCTCATATAGCTCAGTTCTAATCTACCATTTTCTCTTTCCCCCCCATTGATTCCCTACTGTAGGCCTTTTGGTATTCTTAATGGCATTTATGTCTTTTAAGTTCTGAATTCAGCTCAAGACTTCTGATGGACTTCGATATATATATATTCCCTTTCCCCCCTTGATTCCCCTTGTAGGCTTTCTTGGTATTCTTCATGGCATTTCTGTCTTTTAAGTTCTGAATTCAGCTTAAGACTTCAAATGGACTTTGCAAGCTGCTTGTCCAATTTCAATTTTGTAATTAACGGTCAACAATTGTCGGGGATGATATTGATTTCACAATACCTATACACACATAATGTATATGATTCATAAGGCTACTATTATATGAGTGATTTCTTGTTGAGCATTTGTCATTTCCCTATTTTACTATATGTGCGTGTGGCTGTAATTTGTTAATGAACTAATATTTGATCTGCATTATTACCATTTTCTTACTTTTATTGTTCATAATTTATATCTGGTATTATTACCCTTTGAAACAAGGCATGCATAAAATCCATTGCCAAAAGCTGTTTTTAATTTTAAAATTTAGGATTCAACATGGATATGTGTGTGTGTGTCTATATATAAAGACAGTGAGGGATCAGTCTCTTCCTACTGTGTGCTGATTATTATCTAATTAAAATTGTTTTTTTTTTTTTTTTTTCTCTCTATAGGATGGTTTTGACTCATTTAACGGGTTAATTGCTTGTTTGTGCTGGTAATTTGTTTATGATGGCTGGAGATGATATTCACACGGGATACAATTTATTCAATTGAACAGCTGCTTATGTAACTAGTTCAATTAAAAGCTAGCTTAAGCAATCGGGGTGTTGGTTTTGGTCTAGAAACAAATAGAGGTAGTATTTATGCTTAGCAACGCAAAAGAAATGCTAGGGCTTAGTGCATCAAGTAAGAAATCAAGACATGCATTATAATTCGTAAAGTTTTTGTCACTCAGTGTCATTCAGTAAATTTGATTTGCCTACAGATCAACTTGAGAAAGATGTGAATAAACTCTATGATCAAATATTGCATGAAGATGGTGGAGATTGCAAAGGTGGGTTGAAATTGGTACTCTTGATCAACTCAAATCATATACAAACTAACTAATTGTAAGTTTGACAGAGTGGACATAGGATTAAATTTGGATAAACTTAATTTCATGGACCTTAGTGGACTTTGACGTACCGAATTAGAGGTCTAAAGTGATTTTAAGTATAGAAACATATTATTACTTGAAATGGACGTTTTAGAACTAATATTGGGCTTGGAGAAAACAGAGATTCAAGGATTGGTCCCCACCCTTGTAGGGCGATCCTCACTTTAAATAAGGCAGAGAAATGAGGATCAATCCCCATGCCTTGAGGATTGATTCCCGTGGTTCCAGCGATCCCAGGATCAATGTCTCTATCCAATCCAACAAGAGGGCGGCTAGCCAGCCGGATCAACTTCGCTTTGGGAATCCGACATTTGTTCATGAAAGTGGATTGGTCAAAATGAAACATTCCCTCCCTACTGGCGCTCTTCCCGACTTCTTAAAAGTGAAAGAGAGATCGTTCTCTCTTGACTGAATAGTAGGGGAATTAGAATTCCTAAAGCATTCGAACGGGCAGGAAGATTTTCTTTCTTTAATAGGCCCCTGTCGTGAATCAAAGATGTTGTATGGGCACACTCGCTTTGAAAATGAGTCAGGGGACAGATCCAAGTTCAAATCATTGCTATTTGATTGCAGAAAAATATGACTTTCTAAGTTCTGAAAGTTAGATTTATATTTGACTTGGATTAGAGTTCCTAAAATATGCTATAGATGCCTGATGTAATACAGAAGAGATCGCACAAAGGAGGTTTTGAGGGGGACCTTTCTACGCATCATGCCAAAACCTTACTCCACACCCATCTCCCACGACAAAATCATAAACTTGGAGAACACCCTCCAACCTCTCCTAGTACCCTTTCAGTGATCCAGCTCTTATGAAATTGAGACCTTCATTGATGTCCATCCCACACTGTCCTCCCAAAATTTCACTTCCACCAGTGTGCATAAAATGTTTGCTTCGAAGGCATATCTCTTAAGCCATATCCCTAATAAAGCTTAATGAATTCTCTTAATTTCTTAAGACCCAGTATCCTTTCTGAATGGGGGTAAAACATCCTCCCAAGCCACCAGGTGTCTACCCTGTATCCCCTCCATCAAGAAGTCCCTCAAGCCTCTCTGTAATCAACAACAGATATAATGATGCCGTAGTCCATGTCCCAGTCTTACGAATATATCATCTCAACAGACCCTTCTTCATTGAATTTTTGCCCCCTTGTCCTTTTTGAAGTATATCACAGGTCATATTTTTTTTGATAAGTATATATATCCCAGATCATATGGATGGTGATTGCACTATAAAATGACTTTCAGAAACCGAGACAATCATTTTAGGCGAGCATATTGTCAGTTATCAGGAAACAATGACATTCAGATATCTGAGAAGCAGCGGTATAATTTATGTGGCCAAATTGCTATGAATTCTTTGGTAAGCTCCACCGAACGTCTCAACTTGCGGTTGTCTAAACAGAAAGATCTGTGGTAGTTGGTCTAGTTATTAGGTTGATTCATTTTACACTTGAACACACATCAATTCAGTTTCTAACTTTATTTCATGTGCGGTTTTTGGCAAAAGTATCAGCTAATGTACTTGATTGATAAATTGATTGCTACTTGCACACACACAAAAAAAATAAAAAATAAATGGTTGCTTGCTGTAAACAAATATTCTGGGGATAAAACTTGCTGCCAATTGCTTTCAATTTCATGTTGCACGTGCTCTCTCAAATTTCAGTTTTGTGCTTACTGATTAACCATATGGTGATCTTAACTGCACCTACAATGTTTAATATTTTGACTTGTTCAATGGATGCACCAATGCGTAAACTATGTATATATATATATATATATACACACACACACACATATTAAACTTGTTACTATGTCATGGGATAGCTTGATTATACTAAGCCAAACCTTTTTTGGATGGATCACGGTTGGCAAAGGAATTAGGGTGTCTGTGTCTTTTCAGGGGACACTTGTCTCAGTTTGCCTTTTTAAAGGGATAAATCTCGTGTTCCTTGAAGTATGTTGAGTTCTTGACTCTTTCTCTCTCCCATCACCCAAATAGCAGCTCTTGTTGTCATGGAAATTTCTGGGAACTGAGGAAGTACTGTATATAGTTTTCATCAAGTGTTTGCTCCCAATAAAAGTGAACTGGGTGATTTTGCCAGACTTACTTCTATTACATATCCTTTGAGAGGGCACTGAGGCTCAATCAGATTTTGATTTAATCTTAGATCTTAATTCATGGAGGATTGAATTACATGCAATGAACTTTGAGTCTCACCTCTTGTCAGGTCATATGTCTCAATAAGAAATCGACTGCGTTGTTTAATTTCTTTGATAAAAATGGGGGAAAAAAAATAGAAGAAGAAAAGAAGATTGATATTTCTCTTCAAGCATACTTTACTAACTTGCCTGGGGACTATTTTCTCTGTTTTTCTGCAGGTAATGATGGTGCCACATGTTTCCATCCTAGATACTACTGCTATTTTTAAGGGATTTAGAGGCATTGGCTTGATCAGGTTCAGATTATGTAATCCTAGATCCATATGCTTACCTTGGCTTTGGAGAATCTTGTACCTTAATGATCATTTTTATTTTATTTTATGTGTTCACTGCTATGAAACTTTATATTTTTTTTTGTGTTGATCCTAATATGTGATTTGTGAAAAAAATGATAGAGATGGCCTGTTGATTTTACATGCTGTCTGAATTTAATTAGGGAATCATATCCCTTTGTTCACCTTGAGAAACATTCTAAACATTGGAGTAATGTCAGGTCGTTGAAATGAAGTCTTTACAGTTTGAGTGGTTTTGCTGGGTGCTGATATCTTGAAAGGTTCATGATTTTAATATACATTGCTAATTTATTTTTGTTTGGTGGTTAAATGGTTATCATAGTATATTAAATTTTTGCATCCTTTGGTCTATAGAAGGACAGACTGTGTTTTTGAGATGAAATGGACAATGATGGTGACTGAAAGCAGTACTAAGTATATTTCCTTTCTTTCTTTTTTATTTATTTATTTTTTAAAAAAAATATGATAGGTACATACTTAACTCATACACATATTAGTTGTTGTTTCAATGGTATTTAGAGTCTTGAACCTCCCATGTAAGAGGAGGAGATACCCTTTTGAATGAGAGGCTCATAGTTTCCAAGAATCTCTAGCAAACTAATGATGCTTCATGTCTTGTGGAAATTGAACGAGTCCTTTATCATTCTATGTCAAAATTTAGATTCTGTTTTGGATGACTTAATTGATGGAGTTTCAATTTAATCTTGGTGATTTATAGTTTTATACATCTATCTTTACTGGACCATTAACTCGGCAATTTCAACCTTCAGGCCATTTAGAAAAATTGTCTCATTTCCTTTATGTGTGTTCCGTTGTTTTACGATAAGAAATCTGAAATAATAGGAGTTAATGTTCTACCTCAAAAACTGAGAAAAATGAAATTTCAACTCAACAAATCCTTTTTACCAATTACTTGGGTCCGTGTAAATAAATCCTTTTTACCATTTTACTCTTTTAAATTTAAAGAAAAAAATTTCTAATGTAGAGAGACTTAATTAATGTTATTTATATTAATACTCCGTTTGATATTAAAAAGTCATCGTAAGGTGTTATTGGGTTAGGCCTCAACTTTTGTCCACCCGACCTGGTGAAATGGTCTACCATGACTGACTAGTTTTAAATACAGGGAACTTGGGGGTAGGTCTGAGAAGTGAAATCTGAACACCTTAAATTTTACATGTACTTTCAAAGATCAATTATTGTCAATTGATGGTGTGGAACCGGAACTTGCTATGTTTACTTTTTGTACATATTTTTCATATTAATGAGCACACGCCTTTGCACCGAGCATACCACACTGTATGTACCACATTGCAACCATAAGATCAAAATGGCCCACTGATATGCATATTATAGTTTCTTTTACTGAATGTAGGTCAGGTTTATGTAATTCTTGTCTCTCTCTCTCTCTCTCTCTCTCTCTCTCTGTGTAAAATATAGTATATATGTATATATAGTTATGCATAGTCAGAAAATTGTTCTGTTCGGTTGAATTAATATACGTGTGCGTATTGTAAAACACATAATATGTTGATACTTTTCACATAAAATTAATGTTGGTTTTAATCCCACAAAAGTGCCAGAAGAAGAATGAGAAAGATGCATCTAAACACCCCTGCTTATGCAACAAAAATAAACCAAGTCTTATTCGTTAATAATTAGACATTCCACAATTCGAAAAATACAGAATATTGAAGACTGAACCATAATAGAAGCAGACTCCATTATAGCGACATACTCAGAACACATACTTATACCAAATGGAAATGAGCAAGAAATGCTGAAAAATCTCAAGGACTTTCCGATGCAGGAACATTGCCACCACTTCCGGGAATTGGGACCTCGAAGCCTGGGTTGGGGACAAATGTATCATCGCCGCCTGGAACGTAGCTTCCGGTTGACCCGCCACCAGAGCCAATGCTGCCACCGCCAATGCTACCGATGCCACTTCCTCCGCTGCTCCCCGTGACTGGATTGTAGGTGAATGGATTGTACCCCCTGTGGAATTTTGGGGGGATCATGACACGGCCAATGCCTGGAATGAGCACGCTGCCATCATGGTCGATGAATAAATCGGGTTGTAATTTCTTGTCTGTGGTCTTGGAGTTTGTTGGGATGTCACGTGCTTGCACTGTTATGGCAAGCAGGACGTTGAAGATGAGAAGGAAAGCAAGGACTGAATGAGACTTGTAAGCCATTGTTTAAGATGAGTTTTTCAATGGAGGAGAAGGTGGAGGCTTAGTGATGGATAAGGTGGGAAGAGGAGGTGTTCTTATAGTTTAGGTTTTGGACAGAGTTGGGTGAATTTTTTGCGGTGAGTTAAGAGGTGATTCTCTCGTAGAGGTAGAGGTTTTTAGATACTGCAACAACATATGCATGCACTGCAAGTATTATTGGTCTTCTTTTTCTATCTTCTTTATAACGGCTTGAACGGCCATTAAATGTGTGACAACTTTATATTCTTCTGTGTTATTCTTTGTCGAGCATCATTTATTTTGTGAATTTTTTTATTTGGAAAAAGCTTTTTATAGGAGGTGCTCTCACTTTAGTTGCATTCCCTCATCTGCTGAACAGCCTCCTAACAAACTTAGGCTAGTAGGTGTGAATTGGCATGATAGTGATTTAGGAAACAATATATTTCAAGTTAAACTCTTGTTGGGCTTGATCGATTTTGTGGTTATGTTTTTTGGAAAATAAATTATGTGCAAATCAAATAGTTAAAACTTAATTTGACAAAATTGATTTATTTTAATCATAGATCTGCTGTATGTTAACATGATTGAGAATTCCTGTATACATTTATTACTTTGCTTATTTGTACATTGGATGTTTTTATTCTGTATGTCAGCTGTGAATGAAATGATCTGAGAGCTGCTCTATTAGTTACTTGATTACAAGTCAATTTGTTCACTTGAGGAAAGTGTGAATGACATGATTGAATATGATATGCATATGTAACGACCCAACTTCTCATGGATCCGGATCATTAAGCGGGTCCTTTTCCAACTCAAAATCATCCAAGGGTAATACGGTAATTTCACGTTAAATTTAAATATCATGGTCCAAAAAATAAAAAATGGTAAATTGCCACCATTCAATAATTTGAAACTCAAAGGGGTATAATGGTTATTAACTTGGGTCATATAATAAATAAAATAAAGTTCGGAGCAATATAGTCATTTCAGTGGTTAAAATATAATTATTGCACTTTATTGGGCCATAAAATAAATACGTGTAACATTTATTGGGTGCCAAAGTGTAATTTGAGAAACTAAAATTTAGTTTAATTAAAAGGGAAACCGGTCGACGTATGTACACTATACGCGACTGGTTTGGAACGTGTATTACAATGGATACCGGTCAACGTATGGGAAGTCATACGTTCGGTCAACGTATAGGAAGCCATACGTGGACTGGTTTGCAACGTGAGCCACAATGACTCACACTGTGAAGATACTGGTCGACGTAGGAAGCTATGAGTCGACCAGTTCTGGGAAACTCTCACTTATTTTCCCACTGTCAATGATAACCCAAATACACCAACATTGGTAATTCAACCACCTACGCCACTACAGTAATTTTAAATACATTTCAACACTAAATTGCAATAATAACCACGTTGTTAATGTAATTTAACACACGTTACTTATAATATACAAACTGATTTTGAGTGAGTAAAATTTAATTATATTCTCTCAAATAACCATATACACAATGAACCTCAATACATCACACATTGCAAAATAATACACCTTGAGTTAATATTTTACAAAATTAGGTTCATTTACAAAAGATATGAAAAAGGGCATTTCTCTACTCCAAGCTAAGGCTAAGTTGGATTACCGTCGGCTACTTCTTTTCCATGACCTGAAAAATGTAGAATATGATGGGGTGAGCAATATGCTCAGTAGGTGACACTTAAGACACGTCTCTTGTATCCCCGTGAATCCAAGCAAAGAATAGAGCGATAGGAATCGGGGTCATACAAAATCGGGAAAATACAACATCATATCCGAGCTCAACATTAACAATATAATGCAATGGAATGTAATGCATGTCAATGTCATTCCCCATTTTCAAAACCGTTCATCCATCATTTTCCAAATTGTTAATGTAACCCCTTTTGGTGACTCCGCAGCACCGAGAGAAGGATTGGCTACTGTCCCTGACCTTTGGTGACTCCGCAACGTTATTATGGGGCCCAGATAGCTCAACCACGCTAAGGCAATCTCCCTAGTTCCCTCTAGGTTACATTAACCTACCGGCCCGTTGGTGACTCCGCAGCGACCGGGTTTTATCAAAACACTTTCATCAATATACTTTCCCAAAACTCCCCTTTTTCATTTCAAAATCAATTCTTCCCATTTCTTGCCCAATGTAAATGCATAGATGCATTTATATCATGCCAATATACTCATCATTACACAACCAACTCAATTCAAGTAAGCAAGGCATAATTTCACAAGAATTTCTCAAGAAATTTCAACATGCTCTTATACAACAATACATCTAGCATAACAAAACCTATATAAATCATCACATAGGCAAAATTTTCACATAAAACATTAATTACAAGCTCTCACATACCCACATATACATGTTCTAACTACTTTTAAACTACAACTAGCGCAAATAAACATGTCTTGCAACAATTTAGAAGATGTAATTCACATAGGAGCAAGAAAATTCTGGATTAAGAGCCCCTACTTTGATTTAGAGCAAAACCCTTAATATAGGTTCAAATTTTCAAAGGCCAAGGGGAGGCTCAAAGTTGAAATTGTTGATATTAATGCGTAGAGCTCTCCATGCTCTCCGTTTCGCCTCAAACTGCACTCAAAATCACTAAGTGTGGAGTGAGAAATCAAAGATTAAAAATTAAAGCCAAAAGAGAAGAAAATGAAGAGGAAATGAGAAAGAGAGAGAAATGGACGGGAGGAGAGAAATGAGAGACTACAAAAAATGGTCTCTAGCCACATATGGGATTAGTGGCGGGCCCCACAAAATTTTCTTTTATTATCTTTTTTTTTTCTTTATGTCTCCATTTTACACCTCATATACATTAATGCACTACATACAAATACCACTTGATCCACATAAATAAAAATGTACAATATGCAATTGGACCCAACCACAATCCCGTACGCAAAACGTGATAAGACGAAAATACCCTTGTGGCAACAATTTTTTTCAAAAAAAAGAAAAACGACGAAAATTAGAAACGTCACAATTTACCCTTCTTAAAGAGATTTCGTCCTCGAAATCTACCCTCCTTAAAAGAGAAGGCACGACCACACACCTTCCTCAGAAACACTTCACAAAACCCTAAGATAAGGGACTCGACATCCTTATTGCTTTCGACACCGGCATCAACAGGCAACCACACTCCGCCGCTAAAAACAAGCCCAATGATCACCACCCTATGAAGGTACGCATTACTCGCAACACTGTTCACCAAACCTGCTAAATTCTATACTTGACTTAAAACTAATACTGGTCCTCTCTACACCGCTATACAAAGCTTGAAAGAAAAATTATGACAAGACCCCTGAACATGACAACATTCTTTCTCGACCCGTTCCTTGATAGGACAAACCAGACCCCACCTAGAATCAGACTCAAACTCAAATCAATACATCTCTGTCAAATCAACACCTATCATCTAACATACGGCTATGCAACTACATAATCACACAACGACCACCAATCACGCCTACAGGCAATTATCATACTAATCAACCTTAAGATAACTAAATGATGAATCTCTCAACAATCATATAATCATGAGTCACCAAAACAATAAAATGTATCACCTTGTATTCTGAACACAAATCCTCAAAACGAGATTCTCAATAATCAACGATTGTACCACTAACTCGTTATCAAACACCCAATACCACTTAACACATTTCGTCACCCAAAATAATTTATGCAAATTCACATTGTCAAACCAACACAACGTACGGTACCATACTCTTACTATCACCAACAAGTCAGAATGATCATTGACCTTTGACCCAACATCGTGTCAAAGAAAGATTGATTCAGGAGAAATGGTTGGCCAGGCCATTCTCATCCTCAATCCGATCTCGACACAGACATCGTTCTTGTCCTCAGGTTTAAGCCTCAAACACAACCATTTCCAGTCCATAAAATAACCACAAGATTCACTCCCTAATCAATCTATCACCTCAATAACCATATAGTCACAAAACAATATGCTAAAAGCAACATGATAATCATTCCTCGATCTCACGATCATAACAAGCTAAAGTAACCCATCGCCAATACCACAATCATCAATCAACCTAAAAGCCTTTCAGTCATCTCATATCATTCACAACACGTAATCAAGATCATAACCTTATTCGATTCGATTCTGACCTCGTCAAAACACTCAATACGATCATTTCATTCTGAAAACCTCAAGACTAAAGTCAACCATTTCTATTATTCCTTGATAAGATCACACATTCTCCCTCTAGCTACTTAGCATTCAAACGATACCCACATTAGTCCTCAAGTCACTGCTCAATTTAGACATCAATAAAAGTATCAAGATGCATAACTCAAATCACATCGCCTAATCATCCTCAAACAACCATTCACGACACATTCTCTAACCATCGCCGATAGTATTAAATATCAGAAACACAACTCTTACTTGACAACCCGTGCCTGTCATTCCACCAGTCGGAACCACTCTCAGAACAAGCACTACAAAACTTAAAGACTCCACCTCCCTCTGTAGGAGTGAGTCGACCCATTCAACAACTACCTCTACCGATGAACCCCAACAGCATAACAATTCACTCACAAGCCTGACTGCCCACGGACGTGCACAACTTCTAAATAGAAAACAAGACTTCTAGCAAACGATGTCCTTACCAGGACTTGCTCTCATAAGAGACCAACGATTCAAACCTAAATGTACCCAACCGTCTGTCATACGCTATTCATCTATTGTCCAACCATAGACACCCAATCTCACTTAAGATGAATTAAACTCCTTATACACAAGGAGAATGACCAACTAGGAAGCACATATAGAACTACGTCCGCAACTCTAGGCGACCTCGCCACAAACGAACCGTTATACGCAGTCAACATCGGAACCTTGCATACGCTACCCCGCAACACCTATGCTTGCCAAAACCAATCAAATAAGAGCACCAACGCTCACGTCACAGGGACACAAGGAACAAGACTCATGACGCCAATTACATCAACCCACGACTCACCAAAGAAAAAGTGCCTACCTAGTAACGCCACCCTCACTAGCTTGAGAAACTAAACTGTTCCCAATTACTTTCAACTAACACA